ATATTACTCCTGTCAGCATCAGAGTAGTGTTGAAAATCTGTATTTTGCAACACTGTGTTGTTAGTGGTGCGGACTTGGCCGAATGCTCTTTTCCTCTTTCCCAGTCTAAAATGCAAGTAGCATTACCTCTCATAGAGGAGTATTTGAATATTAAATTGAGTTGTATATTTAATTAAAATATATTAATTACATAACAGACTGTAATTGTGGTTATTATGCATCCTGTGTACCATTCTTGATTCTTCCTAGTTTATTATCTTCCTCCTCAGTAACTCTTCTTCTTTTTTTTTTTGTCTTTTTGAGACAGGGTCTTGAGCTCACTTTGTAGCCCAGGCTGGTCTCGAACTTGCAACGATCCTCCTGCATCAGCCTTCCAAGTGCTGGGATTATAGGCGTGTGCCACCAGGGCCAGCTGTACCTCAGTGCCTCTTGAATCTGTCCACATGTCTGTCAATCCACAGTCACACCCTAGTCATTCGCTGTTGGAACATCTGTGATAGCCTCTCTGTATCCCACTTGTAATCCATTCTAATGTAACCCAGATCACTGTGTTGGAAGTGCGTATCTGATCATTACACTGCTGTTTTTCCTGCCATAGGTTCACACTGCTTTTGGAATAAAGTATAAAATCCCCACTATGCTTTGAGAGTCTGTGTGATCTCTGGCCCCTGACTGTTCCTCCAGACTCATTTTTTTGCCTGTCACCTTAGAGTAACGTGCCATTGCCTCTGATCCTTTGAATGCATTGCACTTCTGCCCGAGGCTCCTCTCCCTTCCGTCACCTTTGCTTTACGCCCTCTTTCAGAGCTTGGCTGAGATGACAGGTCTTCAAGAAGGGGTTTGCCAACCTTGGTGGGTTCTCTTCACACACTGTTTTAATTACTTGTTTAATGTTTACGTTCCTGGCTATAAGTTCTAGGAAAACCACTCTTACTTGCTTTATCTACCCTGAGCACCTAACAGTTGTTTTGTACATATTGTTTTGAAAATATTTCTTATTTATGAGAAGATAACCAAAACATATGATGGTTTCCTGTGTTTAATTCTGTTGTCTGATTGTGTGTGTGTGTGTGTGTGTGTGTGTGTGTGTGTGTGCATGTGTGTTATTAGAAAATGAACCCAGGGTCCTCGCATGAGATACATCCCTAGCCCTCTCTGCCATATTTTGAGACAGGGTCTTCTTAAAGTTCCAGGCTGCCCAAGTTGGCCCTGAAGTTGCAGTCTTCCTGCCTCAGCCTTCCAGAATGCGACCTGTGTGCCACCATGCTTGGCTTCTGTTGTCTGATTATTCTGTTTGTTTGTTTTTGTATGTGGTTGTGATACATAATTACCTTCATCTTGGGGGACTGGCACATATACATATTTCAGATGTTGCTTGTTTGTTTTTGGCAACAAAGCCAAACTTGTAGATGCTCAGGCAATCACTTTGTCAGCTTTCTTTGTCATTGAGGGTGGCTTTCAGTGAAGAGTCTGTCAAATGAGATATAAGTGAAAATCTGCTGGGTGTTTCCGGGAAAATTCGCGCCACTTCTCTTCTTTGTGGCTTCTTTCTTCATCTTACTGCAGATTCAGAGGAGAGTCTAGAGGGAGATCAGCCTTCTTACAATGGTGAGGTTGCTATAAGGAAAAGCATGACATTAGAATTAAAGACAGAAGGAACCTGGGTCATTAATGACATTTTAGTGCCCTTCTACCAGCCCTGAAATGCCTCATAGTCTCTCAGTGATGAGAGTCCAAAGGTTCTCGTGGTATATGTTATATAAGAATAATTAACCACTCTATGCTTAGTACACTATAGTCTTGTTTCTGTTACACATAACCAGAAGCGGTCTCTGGTACATATACTTATTTATACCTAGCGCTGTTCTGTGATCACAGATGGGCTGATAGATGGGTGTATGATGGAGAGGCGGGGGAAGGTGCAGTCGGTATGTTATAAGTGGATGGAGAATATCCTTTCTGTGTCTCCCTGACACCTAACTACCATTCTAAGCACTATCTTCTATATGGTAGATGCCAAATGAATATTTACTCATGATTTGGTTAATTGAGGTTTGAAGAGGGTATTTCACCAGGGACGGGTCTGAATTATAGGTTTAATTTAGATTCTAAAAATGAAACTCCCCTGAGGGTAGCCTTTGGACTCGCATAATTGAAAGAGACTCATAAACACTTGGGTTAATCTGTGGTGTGTCACTAATAATTTAGAAAACCAAATACCTTTTTAAGAGACTCGAGAATATATCATGGCAAATGGCCTTCCTAATGGTGTCTAAAAATAATTTTAGTAAGGGAAAGAATATTAACTAGTATTCTTTGCTGAAATAGCTCATTATAAGTAAGATCATCATAAAATGTATAGTGTAATTTGGGACATTTTGAGAGTAAATTGGAGTGGTATCAATAATAATTTTTAGGATCAAAAGTATAATTTTATTTAGATGTTCCTTGTACATCATAATAATTCTTGAGCAGGAAACTCAATCTGGAACTGGGCTGGCATGTATAGCTAATTTAAAATAACATTTCCATGTCAAGAAATACTTTAATTTTGATAAAGATTTGTATTGGCATAAAACTCTGAGGCCTCTCACAGTCAGAGTGCTTATCCATTTTTTCCCTAGCCAGAGTAAACGCTCCGTCTCACTTCTCTCTTTGTGGCTTTTGTCCTCAAGATGCTTCTCCTGTGTGGTGTTCCTTCTAGTTTATTCCAGCCCACAGAGATGTCATTGTGATAAGGCGTAGGACTTACATTTTAAAACAGTTTAGCAGTTGAGTGTATCGTGGCTTCTCGCGGGTGTTTGTTAAATCTAGCCCTTTTGATATGTGAGAGTCTTTATGAACAGAAACTGTGTCTTTATCTTCCTTTGTATTATCTACAGGACCTAGCGAAGTGCTGGCCACGACAGTAGGTGCTTGCCAGTTTGCCGAATGATTGAAACATAGTAAAATAAATTATGAAGCCAAGACGTTCACGTTACATTTCATTTTGACTTCACTATTGTGCATAACGTAGGAATGTTTATGTACCTCCTAGAAGAACCATATACATTATTCTGTATTTTAAATGATTTTCATGTCGAGAAGGGAGAAATGGAAACAGTATATCTCTCGCTACCGCCTCTGTTTTCTATTAACACTAAATGCACGTATGTCTGTAGATGGCTTTCTGCCACGAATTGCATCATTTATGCTGGCTTTTAATATGCCTCCTGGCATTTCAGTTTCTGTTCTCAGCATGAAGCATCGCTCCTGCTGAATCCGCTAATATTTTTACTCAGATAGATGCTTTAGAGAAGGGTCTGGGGAAGGCCTTTTTTGCCTCGCTTCTGGTTGGTTCTAGATGAGTTGCAATGACATCAGAAAGTGACCATTTAAATATGATTTAAAAGATTGAATCATAATAATTTCCTAGAACTTATATTTCATTTTTCTATTAATGGATGTGGGTTTTGTCAGTTGAATGTGGTTACTCTTGAGTTTGTCATTGTCTGCCCTCAGAGGGGGAGGGGTGCACAGGTATTTTACTTGCTGCCAGCCGGAGTGGGCACCTTAGGAAGCGCCTGTGCCTCAACCCAGAAAGAGGAAAGTGGAAAACGGCTTATGAACAGTTCCCTGCACAGATTGGAGGTAGAGTATGGCAAGGAGGCAGGGCCGAAGGGAAATCCCTATTTATGTGTGGGATTGGCTCAGGAGGAAACAGAAATTCACTTTAATTGTGTGTTTTTGTTATAATTATGTAGATAAGTTCTAAAACTAGTTTTAAAGTTTTTTTCAGGACTTTTTGTGTTCAGAAGACTCATACAGTACATATGATATAGGTGAATAAAAATCATATTTTCATAGGAAACTTTTTTCACAAACTATATTCATAAAATATAGGTTTTTCTTTCAGAGAACATGACTTCATAGTCAGCACTGTCTTCATAAATAATATAAACTGATTTTAGACTTTTTTGTGACCATCAGAATGATGATTTGAATTCTTAATTCTTCATTGAAAAATATTTGAATGATTAACTTGTGCATTCTGATGCATATTGATGAACATTGCTGGTAATTGCCAGGAAAGAGCAAACAGGAATCTATATAACCACCAGTATTAATCCTAAAGTCAATCTAATTTAAAATAATTTCTAACTATTAGAAATTTTAAAAGTTTAAAATGAGATACAATTATTGTTCACGGTATTTGGATCACGATAATCTCTCTGCACCTTCCCCTGCCATGTGAAAAAATTGTATAAAGATTTAGGTTAACTCTTTCATTCGTTTATTCATGAAGAGCTTGACATTGTCGAATGTTTTCCAGATGGCATATCCTGAGAAAGAAATTCAAAAAGTCATTCATCTATATATATATTTGAACATTCATCTATGTATATTTTGTATCACATTATTTTGACAAACTGAAGAAAATTGTTTGGTCCATATTCTGTCATTTACATGTAGATAAAATCATGACATTAAGAACATTATGACATATACTATGGGATGGAAAGAATATCTTCTTCTGTATTTGATTCTAACTTGTGATCTCAGGGTGCTATCCAGTGGGGTGTGATCGCATAAGCTGTGGACGGAGAAAGTGGGAGAGGACGAGTGGGGGGAACTGGGTTAGCCGTGGGACAAAAAAGTAAAACGAGGCAGTTGGTCAACATTTCTTTTAAAAAGAAAATGTACAGTGGGGGGACACAGTTGTGTTTGTAACTAACCTTAACTACAGAATGTCTTAAACTCGAGCGTGGGCCGGAAGTAGGACAGGGCCCAGTGCAAGAACTAGAGTGCTGAGTCTGCAACATTCTCTTGGTGAGCTGTCTGCAGGCCTGGGATTTAGGATTTCTTTTCCTCTTTGTAGTAAGTTTATTTTTAGCGGATAATTTCATGAAGTAAGTAGCTTTCTTCTGGCATTAAGAAAAAAATTGAAGACGCACAGCAGGAGAACCTGAAATACAAGTATCAAAACTTGCCAGTTAGAAGGGACCAGCAGATTCGGAAGGGTGCTAGTAACAGAAAAAGGCCGTGAAATGTGTCGCGCTCTTCTGCCCCTTTTCTTTTGTTTACGTTTGTTTGTTTTCTTCCCCTGACCTTTTGGTTTTAGCTCATCTTTGTTTTTTGTCTGTTAAAAGCAGACAGAAATGTAGTGGTCATTCTCCCGAGTCAGACTTCATGCAGTGTCCTCAGCTATTTCTTACTAATCTCATGTTCCAGACAGCAGCCAGTTAGAGTATGAGCTAAAAAATAAGACATATTGTCTACCCTTTAAAAATTAACTTTTGATAACCTGTTTTATACCGATAACCTATTTTCTAGAAAGGAAAATTTATTTTCATGCAAATGATGAACCAAGACTATTGATAATATTGTTTTCTTTGGCTAGATAGTATATCCACTTATTGGATTATATCTAGGAGAATAAGTTATAATTTTCTGCATTTCATATCCTCTTTTAAAGGAAAAGAGTTGGCTACTGAATTAAAACTGAAAATTGCTACTGAGTTAGAAAGCATTCACTTAGTGTCTCCTTTATGTTATAAGTTGACCTGGTGATTTATGCGATTGGAGGATTAAAGACTAGAACTAGAAAGCTTTTAGAGTTGATAGCAGAAATTACAATGAAAAGTTACGCTTCAAGTTATAAGCTTGTTTTGTTTTAGTTAAAAAGAGAGGGAGAGAAAAGGAAAAAGGCAGCAGCCACCCTGTGCCTCTTGTTTTCTCTTCCCGACCTTCTCTCCTTTGCCCAAATCTGAAGTCAGTTTGAAGGCGGGAGGGGATGAAAGTGCTTTGCTGTGGAAGCTGGAATATTAAGTGGTCTGGCAGGCATTTGGGTTTTTCTCTCAGGAGGAAAGGAGAAGCACGCCAAACCCTCGCCATCCTGAAAGACAGAGACTAACTGGGCTGGACTCTGAGAACATCTGCCCATGAAAGCAAATGTTCATTAGGATTACCACTGAACTCTTTCCCTCTGTGAAGCCCTGTGTTGTGCAAGAAGGGATTTTAAAAAGCATATACTGGGGAATTTATGTGAAGTTAATCTTCTGTTTAACTTTCCTTCATGCTCACAATATTTGTGGTTTTTAGCCTCTGCTCACTTTCTTTTCTTGGTAATGCTATTCCCTACTTCTCAATCCCTGTCCGTCCCTATTAGGCATCAATTTAATAAAGGAAGAATTCAAATCACAGTGTTTAAATCAAAATCCGTTTTTAAAAATGATATTCAAAGTAATAATCCAAGGTGCAGACTCAGAACAAAATGTGGTCCAACCATACATCTGTCGCAGAGTAAGAGTTGGGCTGCCTGGGTTACATCCCAGCTCAGTCCCCTGCGGTTGGGAGGCCTCGTTCTGCAGCTCTCTGCTCCTCCTTTCCCTTGACTGTCAATTGGTGCTGAAAGTAGATTTATCTAATAGGAATATTTGGATGTTTAAGTATGAAAATCATGTAATTTATTAAGCACAAGCCAGGCGTGGTGGCGCATGCCTGTAATCCCAGCACTCAGGAGGCTGAGGCAGGAGGGTCACCATGAGTTTGAGGCCAGCCTGGACTACATAGTGAGATCCTGTCTCCAAAAACAAAAAAAAAATTATTAAGCACAGTACCTGCTATTTGGTGAATGCTCAAATTTTATTTTTATTATTGTTATTATTTTTATAAATTTTTTTTCTGTAGAAAGTATGTGATTTTTGAAACTAATCATTTTAATATCAGTAGTCTCTGCATATAAAATAGTATGCTGTACTAAATCATTTATTTAAATGCTAAGAGGAAGAGAATTTTGAGAAATTAAAATAGAATTGACCCCAATATACAATATAATCTCACAATTCAGAGTTGTTTGCCGAGTAATTATAATCAACAAATATCTAAATAACAGTGTATTTTATAAATCTTGATTTTAATTGATTTAAGCATACAGTTAATAAAACCCAGACAACAAAGTATTATATAATTTAATGTGGATTTGTTTTGATAAATCCTAAATCCAGTGTTTTAATTTTTATTATTTCTTAACACAGTTCATCATAACAATTTTTCCGAAGTTTATAAACAGAAGTCATATTAATAGTTGTACTACAAACAATGCAGACAGACTTTATCCTAGTGTTTTGTACTTCCATCTATTTACAAATTCCCTGTTGTTTGGAATCCGTCAAACTGTGAGATAGTGCTGCATGTATCAGGCAGTTCTGCAGTTTCTCTGTAATACTGAGATCAGTGTGATCAACTTGCTTTATCCTTTATTCATTTACTTATTTATGTTCATTTACTTTATTCATTTACTTATGTGTTTCAAACCTGGGGATTGAACCCAGGGAGTACTGAGCTATTTCCCCAGTCCTTTTAAAATTGTATTTTGAGTCAGTCTCACTACATTGCCCAGGCTATCCTTGAACTTGTGATCTTTCTGCCTCAGCCACCTGAGTAGTTGGGGTTACAGATGTGTGCCACCATGTCCAGCCAGCATTCCTTAACTGACCAGAAGGTAGGTGAGAGAAGAGGCAGCAGGTGATATTGGCATTTGTTCCTTAAAAGCCATGCTGCTTTTTTTTTTTTTTTTTTATGGGCAAGACTGAAGGATATGAAGGAAACGAGATAAGCAGCTTTTTTTTTTTTTTTTTTTTTACATTGCAATGTTTCAGGAGAATTTTAAGAGTACGAACAAAGTACGTACTTTTGCCTTTTGGGGCCGTATGAGTCCATATTTAATAATACTATAGGAGAACTCCAGTGCTGTTCAGTTTCTGAGAGTAGAACTGACGGGTTCATTCATCTTTTCCATCTGGACAAGAGAGGGAAAGACTTACAGAGTTAGTAAGGGGTTCAGTCTGAGTGGCCAGGTTGTCATGTGACAGAACAGTTAGAATCAGTGACACTTAGCAATTTCTAGAACTCAACTGAACATTGCTCAGTTTCTTATGACAAGTGCATAACTTACTTGAGGGCGCTAGGACCTGGTCCATACCCACGCATGGGCTAGGAAAGGCGGTGGGGAAACAAGCTTCAGTGTTTTGAGCTGCAGCCATTAGTATTGCATAGGTATAGTCTTCAACAGCTCCCCACCCAGACACCCTCCAAATTTCCAGGAGGGAGGATGCATCTGGGTAGGAGGTAACACGAGACGTTCAAGGCAAAATACCACTAAGTTGTCTTAGCAGATGGGGAATCCAATAGTCTTATCCCCCAGTGACAAACAGAGAAGCTGAGCTGTAAGACTGTGGGCCTAGCTGGAAAAGAGAGTATAGTGGTAGCTTGGCACTCCTTGTTAATTGCTTTCAGGAGATACAGCCAGTACCCACAACGACCAGTATCAAGCAAATCATTTTGGATGGAAAGGGTAATGAGTCATGGGGCAATCAGCACCAGCATGTGCTGGTTTGTGTGTTGAGTGCTGAACAGTACGGGGTGCAATGCATCAAGCACCACCTTCAGCCAGTTGCAGAGCACTTGAGCAGGAAGGTCTGACTGTGTGACAGAACTAGGTGTGAGTGGGGTCAACAATAGAAGACAAGTTTGCAAGAAATCAAATTATAAGCCCATATTAAAGGACGGCAAAAACAAAAAAAACCAGCAACAGAAATAAATTGATGCCGAGAACTGGACAGGAGAAGGGCGGGAAGGAGAACAGCATGAGGGCAGGAGATCTCTAAGTGGGAGAATCACAGAGCCGTAGTTGTGAGGTAGACAATGCTGTGATAATGACACAATTGGTGTTATCAACCATTGAGAGCATGTTTAAGTGTCATTTCATAGAAAATACAGGGTTTTTCAGTACTAGGCTTTGAAACAAGACATCAGTGTGTGCTAGGCAAGTGCTCTACCACTGAGCTACATCTCTCTCCAGCCCCCGGAAGACAAGGTTCTGAAGGGGAGGACTCAATGGGAAGATAGACTGATTGGGTGGTGTGAAGCTGGAAATCTCATGTGACATAAATATTCTTGGGCCTAAATATCTCTGGAAGTTTCCTAGCTTTTTTTTTTTTTTGTTTGTTTGTTTTGTTTTTTGTTTTTTGACACGGGGGTCTCACTTTGTAGTGCAACCTGGTCTTCAATTTACTATGTAACCCTGGCTGGCCTCAAACTCTTGGTGATCCTCCTGCTTCAGCCTCCTGAAGTGCTGGGAAAGTGCATTTGTACTTTCATGCCCAGCTTTTCTAGATTATTTCTGAAAAAATTTTCTAAGATGTAAGTCTAATTGTGCTTTAAATTCTCCAGGGGTCCCATTGAACTTAGGGAACAGGGAAAATTCCTGAATATGGCATACACAATCTCCATTTGCCTTTGATTTCTTTTTTTTAAAGAGAGAAAAAACCAGGGCCCCCGGTGCAGGGGGAGCCACGGGCAGGGAGCGCCAGTCTTCCAGCTGGCTAGCTTCCTGCCTCATAGCCCCCGGAGGGAGGTCCCCTGGCTCACTGGGAGCCATGCGGCGGCGAGTGCTGTTGCGTGCCGCCTGAGAACTATCATGACACAGAGAAACAATGACACAATTGGCCCACCATGCTGCAGATGCCCACCTAAGGACGTTTGTGAATCATTCAAACATGGAAAAACCCCTGGGAACACATGCCATACAACGGGCCACTCTTGCTCCTGCCATTGAGAACCAGAAAGGTCCAGAG